TGTGTGTGTGTGTGTGTGGAAACCAGTGTACAGTCGGGAATGGTGACAACAGGTGGAGGTAATCCAAGAAATGTCACGCATCCCGTCGACGGTCCTCACTGGCATTGTGTACATTGTGTTTGTGTGTGTGTGTGGGTTGGGGGAGGGCGGGGGTTTGAACACAGGTTGGCGAGGAAGGAGGTGAGGGATGAGAGGGGGTTGAGGGTGCCAGGCGCGGTAGAAGGAGGGTCTGTTCTGGTTCCCGCCCTCTGCTCACTCCCCTGCAGACCCGCTACGGCTCACCGGTGGCTTCCCCCCCTCGTCCCAGGAGGGGGATGGGGGCGGTGGGGTGAGGGGGTTTTTAGAGGTTGTCCTTTTGGCGTTAAGCCTGGAGCGAGCGCGTCAGTTCGTAAAGGCATTTGGCGAGCGTGGTGGAAACCTCCATGTTACTTAGCGCGAGCACAGAGAGGTGCGTCTCATGCCTCTTTACCAACCTGAGAGACAAACACAAAACTCAGGTTAGAGTGTTCTTCCACATTTCACAAAGACAAAAAAGTGACAAAAACCTCAAAGTGCACTCTACACTCCTCAAAGCCAGCAGGAACACTTACATGCGACCGCAGTCAGAGTGCTTGGCGATGTTCTTTAACGTTAAGGCAGCAGTTAGTCGTATGTGTTTGGTCACTGGTCCCTCCTTCTCGTCCTGGGAGAGGAAACAAACAAGAAATATATACACGGTTTTCCCTTTTGTAGATGATAGAGGCTCAGTAGGAGTGGCCCTTGAAGACGGGCACTTATTTGATTTATTTGTGTTTATTTGACAACGGAGTTAGCTATGAGCTAATTTACAATCTGTAATCCCTGGGCAGGAAATGGGGACAAACGTTTTTTCATTTGGACACAAACAGGTAAGAATGGTGCATCACTTAGAAACAGGATTCCTTACCATCACAACATGACCTGCTAAATGATAGGTCTTCTAAATCTGCAGAAATTGTCTAATGGGACTGTTTTTGTAACATTTTTGAGTAGATTCCAACCTAATGACCTGGAAATTACAAAATTATTTTCCCCCAGCATTTCCAGTCAATCCTAACCCTGCGTTGGAACCATGAAGTGAAGGAAACAGTGGAATTTAAAAGTTTCAGAACGGATTATTTTCACTTCGGCCAACTATGGGCTTTATAAGTCATACAAAAGTGTGTGTGTGTGTGTGTATTTTACGAAAAATCAGGAAGAAGTGTGGTAACAGTCAGCCTTGTTCTACTCACAGTGAAGTCCCTGAAGACCAGGTTTCGAGAGCCTCTGCGTAGGGCCATGAGAGCTGCACTCGGATGATTCACGATTGCTTTCGGTGCTCGCGGTGCCGGACTACTGCCTGCCGCTGGCGGAGTCCTTTACAAAACAAAGAGCACACAAAATCCATCTTAATAAGCTGGATCCAAATAAAATCAACCAGTCAGTGCTAAGGAAAATAACTTCAAGCTCAAACAGGTATCAAGTGTAGTTTCAGGCATCAATCATGTATGAAGATTAATAGAGAAGGGTATATGTACTGGGAAGAAGTCTGATTGGGACTTTGTGCCTGCTGCTCCTCTAGTTTGAGTCCAGCCAGCAAAGCCTCTCGAGAACAGTGCTTATCCTGGAAAAGAAAGGGCAGAAACAGGTTAGATAAATCTCATACAGTATTTCATTATGACTTCCACTACCAGCCGCAGAGAATTTGAAGGTCCTACCTGTAAATGTGTGATGAAGGACAGTCTCTGCCGGGGGAAAGGTTCACATCCCTCCCACAGACAATGGCCTCCATACATGCCTTTACCACCATGTTGCGTTGCTGCGTGGTAAAACACCTGAGCCGGCGTTTCGAACCATCTGGAGAAGAAACGAGAACGAATCAGCAAGAGCTAGTGAGAATTAGAAACGAGAGGCAGACTGTGCCTGCAACACGTACCGTTTACAGGACTGCCACAGACACTTGAAGTTCTGCCCTGCTTTCCTGCTTTGCTCTGGCGCTGCTGCGGGGGTTTGCTGTGCTGCGAGGTGAGGGCTGTGGTTTCCCGCTGGTGCAGGCTGGGATACAGGGGGCGGGGACGGGGTAACCGTAGGCTGTGGAAGAGTTAGAAAAGTCCAATGAATATTTATCAATATAAAATAAATGGAGACACCATCAAGTGATTACTGTAAGACCATATAAAAGATATTCACAATTCCCAACAGAAGATAAAATCGCACGAGATTTGAAATATCCACAACGTAACATTTTAATTATTCATTTGACAAAAGACACACCACTGTTGGTGTGCTAATGTTTAATGGAATAATCACACTAACAGGACACCTTTTTGCTCTGACTTTAAACAGTTCAGAGAGCACTTTACAGACTTTACTTACACATGCTGTATTAGAGGAATAATGTGGACTGCAGCCATTTCTCATCATTAGAAAGGTCTTGTTGGCTGAGATGTAACCGAGGCCTTTCTACTGGCAGAAGTTGTTCTCTCAGCTGCGTTGCTATAGGAGGTGGGTATCGGTGAAAGCCACATGGTCTTAACTGGCATCACCTTCTTAACCTCCAAACATCAACTAATCCCACCTGAACCCTTCCAGCCCGCACAATGAGCGCCACGGTTTGATTTTGGGAAGAAATTGTTTCTGCTCTTACAATCACAGGTTTTTGAGTGATTCTAAAATGTATTTCACAGTGGAAGCTAAAGCCCCCTGCAAGAGCACAGAATCACAGAAAAGCTTTCAAAAACTTTAGATTCAACTTTTTCCTTCCATCTCCCACACACACACACACCTGCAGATTTTAGTCTTTTGTCTAGTACTAAATGTGCCCCTTTAATTCAGTTACATAGTGGTTAATACTGGAAACATATTAAAAACATACCCTGTGAAGTTTCTGACCATAAGTGCCACTGTAGAGCAATGGTTACAGTCACACACATATGTGGTGAAAGATGTCAAGGATAGTCACAAAAATAAATTCTAAATAATTTAATAAATAAATAAATAAATAAATCCTGTCTTTCTGTAATCTTTGCTCAGTTCTAAAATGCCAGTGGTCCTTCCTGGGTTTTGTTGCTGTAGTCTTTAAAGTCTGTTGGCTGTTTAACGTCAGTCTATTCCACAGCTGAAGACCTCAGCAAAGCATTAAGACCGAGAGAGAGGCACTGAACGGAGAAAGCAAAGAGCCATTTCCACTCTCTCTGTGAAAATATCTTCAGTCATACTATCTTAGTTACAAGTTACGATGTATCCTACAGAAAACTGTCAAACAATAGCTGTATGTCAACTAAGACCACGAGCTACAACATCCAGATAAATGGATCAAATTAATCAAAATACTAACAATAATAAGGCTTAGCATATGTTTTGCAGAAGGACAAGCCCTCAACCTGTGAATATATGATGTGTTCTGGTGAATGTAAATAAATCTGTTTTGTTTATAACCAAAAGCCCGAGACGACCTGGTAATGACTTCCCAATGTAAATATTCAACCTGTCTGTGACAGACATGCACGACACATTTTGTGGCAGACTTGACATAAAGTCACACGACGAGAACACTGTGGATAAATGTGAGACTAACCCTACAATGACTCACCGTTGAGCCAGCTGCCTGTGTGGGTGAGCAGTTCCTCTGCTGAGTGGCGTTCTCTATTGCTACTTTGGCTACTGTGCTTGGGTCTGTTCCTGCTGGCACCGCCACCATGGTGGCACTGCTGCCGGCGTTGTTGGGGTCACTGATGGTGATGATCCGCACTCCCACTTTATTGGGGATCCCCGAGGATGCTGCCGCTGCAATGCGGTCCTCGCTCTCAGCCGGTCTCTTGAGACCTCGAGCCTCAGAGGCCACTCCATTTGCAGGAGAGGCAGCAAGACTCTGGGAGGTAAGCGTAACAGTGGAGGGGAGGGTGGAATTGGGGAGCAGTTGCTGTCTTAGCACAGGCACAGCGTGGCCCGGCCCCAAAGGTCCATTGGTTAATTCCGAGGGAGGCCTGTTGCCTACTGCCTGGGGTCCGTTGGCCAGGCGCTCAGCCTGCTGGGCTTTGGCAGTGTCCTGCTGGGGGGGAGGAGGACTAGGGAGAGGGGGGTCTGATCCGTGACTCTTCTCAGAGGGTCCCACCTCCCCGTTCCCCAAGTACTGTTTGGAAGCAATGTGATTTGGAATGTTTTTGTTAAAGTTGCCACCACTGTCACCCCGATCAAAGTCACACACTCCGTTGACTAGAGTCTTTTTGGGGTCGCCCTCCAGAGGGGTGTTCAGGCTGGGGGAGAGGGCCTGCTTCCCATTAGCAGGGTGACTCTCCGTAGCCGGGCCATTGAGGGCCCCCTGGCTGTTCCCTGAGTGGTATGGAGGTAGATTAGACTCCATGCACTTCCGACCATTTAGCAGCTTGGCACCTGCCACAACATCCCCGTTACTGGTTTTGCTGTTTGAGGAGTCTCCTTCTGCCAAAGAGGAGTTCTCCATCACCTCTATCTTTCTCTCATGGATGTGCAGCCCCGTGGCGTCCTTGGCCTCCTCCTCCTTTTGACAAATGATCTTGTCTCCTCTGAGGGGAGCTGGCAGTGGTGGTTGTGGTGGTGGAGCTGCAGGGGCATGGTGGGGCCCTGTTCCAGTAGAGAATGGAGGAGGGGGAACTCCCGGAGCCACAGCACCCTGGCTGACAGCAGCAACAGCAGCAGTGGAGGTGGTGAAACCAGTGTTGGGGACCACGGTGAACGTGACTTGTCCAGCTGCCGCAGGGCCCTGGATGATGGTAGCTGCCCCTGGGCTACTTGTGGAAATTAGCTGGCCTGGCAAGAGCTGGACCGTCTGGAGGGCTGGGGCTCCTGCTCCTGCAGTAGGAAGCTGACCAGGAACCAGCTGGACATTGAGCTGCTGGGGCTGAGGAGAGGGATTCTGGGTGCTGTAGCTTGTCTGGTAGATGACTTGTGAACTAGGGGCTATCGTGCTGTTGGGAAGGGGCACCTGTGGAGCGGGCAGGATTAGCTTTCCTCCCGGGGTAGAAGGCCCTCGCTTTGGAAGCAGTAGCTGTTTGATCAAGCTGGACTCAGTGGAGGTAGGCTGAGAGGGAGGAGTTTGGGAAATGATTTGGAGCGGTGGCTGCTGTTGATGTTGCTGCTGTTGGTGCCGTTTCATGGACAGTGCGTGGCTGACAGTTTGACTGGACTGGACCTGGGTGTTGGAGTGAGATGCAGGAGGCGGGCAGGGGCTGGAAGCAGCTCCAGGTTGCCCTGCTATCTGGATAGTCTGGGCACCGGGAATGGCGGAGGGGTTGGCAAGAACGATCTGGTGTATGGCAGGGGTGTAGGCTGGGCTCTGCTGCGGGTTGGGACTGACTATTACGACACTCTGCGCCTGCTGCTGAGGCTGCTGGTTGGGAGTGGTTATTGTGGCTGCTGGTCCACCTGACTGGTTTGGCGCTGGTTTGGGGGCGATGTTCTGAAATGTGACACGTGACCCCTGGGAATTGGGCACACCTGCCATACTTGATGCAGCAGCAACACACTGAGGTTCCACCTGGGTAGTTCCACCCTGAGGCCCACACGGGGGAGGGGTTTGAGGCAGGGGCGGGTGCTGGGTGATCGGAGGGCAAACGCCTTGTACCCTGGCGGTGAGGATGTGGCCCTGTGGTACCTGCTGAAATAGCGTGACAGGCGTCCCCGTGGGGAGCATCGGGGAGTGCTGCTGTTGTTGCTGAGCTGCAGGTGGAGTGGCAGGGTTCTGGGGGCTGTGGTTCTGGTTGGCCGGTACTGACGTCGGAATCTGGACCACTGGACCGGGTCGGAGCTGTTGCTGCTGCACTGCTGCCAGAGGATTTGGTGGTAACTGGGGAGGCACCTGCGGGGGCACTGGGTGACGGGAAACAGTCGGGTAGCTTGCATGGTGGGGTTCCTGTGCAGTCAAGGCCATGGATGTGGCAGCACCAGTGGCACTGAGACTGGAGCCCAGGGGCCGGACAAACTGGGATCCGAGACTGAGATGCCCGGGAGGTAAGCCTGGTCAAACAATAACACACAAACACACAGAACTGTTTAGGACCAAGAAGCTCTTATGCCCTCGTTTTCTCAGTTTACAAAGGCGCTTGTGAATATTTTGATAGATAAGACACCATGCATGCACAACAGAACACTGAAGCAGATCACATGCATTGAAATATAATGGATGGTGTTGTATGTGTGAAAAGCAAAAGCTGCTGGCTTTATCAGGCAATTTATTCTGTTAATGTGAAGGAATGTACAGTATGTGTGATTGAGGCCTTAACAGTAACAGAAGAGGCCAATCATCAGGATTACCTAAGCTGTGTATAGTCTTACAGTAGAACTGTTAAACATTTGCCAAGGTGACCAGTACAGGAGCCAAAACCCTCAGAATCTGACATATTTTGAATTAACGAAAGGAAGATAAATTCACAGCATCCCCTTAACCAACCCTGAATGGGCCATGCACTGGTGAGCTAGGTTGACTTTGTTGCTCTATTCAATACAAGCTATCATGTTAAATGTTTTTTATTATATCTGAGATGCAGCAGACAAAATACCAAATGATTCAATTCAAACTAAGTTAACAATATAATCAAATATTACGTATTGCATTACATAATTTTATAGTTTTGCAGTTTTATAAATTTATTAAAAATTGTATAAAACAAAACAAATCACACACCACATCCAAGTATCTTGTGTGTTCAGTTATATGACGTGATGCAGCTTATCAGCTTTTCTTTCACTTTCCCTAGTTAGCTCCTCCAAGTAACTTATTTTCCTGCAAACATTTTCTCAATGTGTTCTCTGCGTGCTCTGCCAGAAGACTGCCAGAATCCTTCTACACAATACTATTTTCTAGTGCCTTTTCTTTTCTTCCATAACTCTTACCATTTAATTATTTATTAGCTTATTTGGCCGGTTAACTAAATCCCTTTGGCGTCAAGCATGTCAAAGGGGACGCGGTGAATCTTCCCTTTAGAAAGACAAAGTAAATGAAATAATCATGTTACTGGTTGTACCTGGTGGCGGGGCCTGAGGGTCTCCAGGAGCTTCATGTCGGGCTGCTGGAGGTGGAGGAGCTGCTGCCGGATTCTGCTGAGGCTGTTGCTGAGCCTGCTGGTAGTACAGCTGGATGGGCAGGGGGATTGACCTTCGCCTTAGCCCTACCAGGAGAATCTGAACCTGACCGTTGGCCTTGGGCTCCTCTTGCCGCCGCATCGTGTGGTTGGGGAACACAGTCCTGTGGTGGCAGGAGGACAGAGGATCATCACAGAGGAAAAAGTGCAAAAGAAACGACGGGGGGGGGGGGGGTTT